CTAACGATATGGCGATATGCATACGCGCCTGTAGATTCTCGTGAATCTCGATAGGGGCTTCGAACATCCCAAAGACACGACTTACTTCAAACGCCGGAGGTACTGCCGCAGTCGTCCTGAGAAGGTCTTGCATTTCTTGCCAGCCTGGCAAATCAGCTCGGCGCCGTGTCCAGATGCGGGGATGTTCGATATTGAGGAAAGTGATAACGACGTCGCGGAGGACCGATCCGCGCTCGTCATGCGGCCAGTTCGGAAGTGAAAGTGTTGTCGGGGCCGGCCTATCGTACGTTGGCGAACGCGACGGTCGGTGGTTCGGTCTCCTAGTGCGTTCCTGACGAGCCGGCGCTCCCCAGGTATGAGCGTGGTCGGATGGCAGACGGCTCCGGTCCTCGATGATGCGGCGTTGCCCTGGCGACACCTGTAGGTCAGTGTCTTGCGCAACTAGGTCCGGATGACTTACTTCAGCTCTCGTGTATCGCGCGCCAGTACTTGTCTGGGCGTAGGGTTCGGAACTGTGAGCGGGGGCGCGCCTGGTCGCCATCGTGGTCGATGAGGTTTGTGAGGCGAGTGCATCGCCTCCTGTTGCGACTGGTCGCTCTTCGGATGCTCGTTCCGTGCTTCCGGTATCCTGTGGCAACGCGATAAGAGGATGACTCGATGTTGAATGAGATACGGTACCTCTGAGTCTCGTAGTTATGCTACGTCCCCTCTCGTCTCGTCGATCATGCGCCTCCGAATCTTCTAGTGTTTTGCTATGACTCCTGGCCCCGCGGTCTTGATCGTTTGATGTTCGACTGACTTCTGATAGCGGTGACGGCGGCGAGGAGGTCGGTACAATGGTGACGTCGAGTCTGGTGTCGCCTATCTCGTTCGCGACTCGTGCTTCGAACGACGCCTCGTCTTCTGAAGTGGATCGGTCGCCGACTTCGCCTTCTAGTTGCGAATGGAGGGGCTGTCGTCCTGACGGAGGAGTGAGAGGTCCGGTGGACGTGTCCGGAAAGTCGTCATCGAGTTCGATCGGGCCTAACCCGATCACTACTCGACGCCTCTCGTTAGTCGACAGAATAAAGGTGGTGTCGAACCAGCTTACTATATCTTCCATCGATCGCGCTTGATCGGCCGTGCCGTTGCTTATCGTGGCCTCCAATCGATACCATATGCTGGTTCCCATCGGGCGCGCATACAGTCGGGCCTCGTCTCTGTCGCGGAAGTTTAGTAGTACATGATGAAAAGGGCGCTCACCAAGCATAGATAATGAGCGCCATGCGTCGCTGCTGGGAGTGGTAGGCGTTGAGGCTGCTGTATTCATCGACGGCAAGCGAACGGCGTACCCTATCGTGCGCCTGGGCGCTTCGCGTTCTGTTGCATCGGGGGTCTCGGGCACTTCTTCTACGTTGTCAGGGTCGAGACTCCGCCGGCGGACGAGAGGCCGATAGCCATCGGCGGCAGCAATAGTCGTCGATGAGAGTGGGCCAACGGCGCGCGCGATTGCGCGCTCGAATGCTTCCCGTTCAGCGGTGTCGGGCGTGCTCGGGGTGGTATCGGAGTCGGTGTCGTGTTGGCGGTTGGCAAGTTGGTAGTCGAAAGCGGCGGCGGCAGCGTCGGCGGCGGCGATGTGGGACCAAGCAGAGGGGGCGGTTGCGGACTCCTCGCTTTCCGTGGCTGGCGCTGACATAAGCGGAAGTGGCGTCGTGCGAGCGCTCAACACGCGCGGCACGTGATCATTTCCACGCCACCGGGAACGCCCGGACTCGTGCGTCTCGCTCCGGCTCGCTCGGGAGCCGGTATCTCCGATTTGGGCCGGCATAACTCGGGCCGGGTCGTCAGATTCGGGTGATACTCGCACTTCTAGCTCCGTTCCAAGGTGTGGATATTTAAATACAATGTACGTTTCTTCATTATCCCTTTCTTCAATGTTTATCTTGTTCTTTTTCTGCCAAGGACGTCCAAGGAGTAAGGGGAAATCTATTGTCTTCGATACCCATAGGTGCGCCTTTGTGCGTGCTGCTCCATAATCAATGTTTACACTGGGTACTAATCCGACCAGCTCTCCCACACCGCCATTTACGTCTTTCATCGGCATCTTCTGAGACTTATCTAGAGGAAGTCGTATAACTTGGTTGTACACTGACTCATGCACGACGTTGAGTTGTGATCCAGTATCAATAATCGCTGGAACGGTCATTCCATTGATCTCCATATCTAGTTGAATAAGCCCTTCTCGTATGTCGCTCATCCGCATTGGCATTCGCGTTGGTGCGGAGTCAGATCCCACTATGCGAGCCACTGTGGGTTGTATTCCTTCCTCGCTGGGCGCCCGCTGTAACTTGTTATCGGCTATCACCCGCTTAGCTATATCTGGAGCGATCGCGCAGATTTCCTTATGAGTAAGCTCGATAGTCGCATTCTGTAGCTTTTGATACACTAGGTTCTTGTCAACTTCTCGCATATTGATCGATGCCATTGGACCTGACTTGATTCCTGTGTGCATGACCGGTTGCTTGTCCGCTGGTGATTTGTCTTTAATCACATGTAATGGTTGCGCGGGCGGAGCTGATATGTCTTCCATGACTGTGTCTTGGTCACCGGGTTGGAACGTTCTCTGGAATACATCAACTGGACGCATCTCAAATCGCGCTAACTTGGATGGCCCTTCCGTAG